AACGTTAAAATTGGACGTCTGTGTGTTGCACAAATAACGATGCAACTCACCCCTTTATTTATGTCGATCACCCCCGACCAAACTTTTGTCCAGTGATTTTTTTGAAAAATGTTACATATAATCGAGTGGTTGATACTCTTTTTTGGGGTATAAATAAGACGAATTTAAAACGATAATTAAATTTTCGTCATTCAGAAAATGGATGTAAAAAGTTTCGAAGAAATATTCGATAATGACTTTTTACGACTTTTTAATGATTCAGACGACCATGACGTCATAATTAATGTTGGCAAAGAGCCGAACAGCAAAACTTTTTCTGCACATGCTGTGATCCTTTGCGCTCGCAGCCCATATTTTAGCGAGGAGTTATCATCAGCTTCGGTCGCCAATAAAAAGTGGACTCTAAGTATTCGAAATGTTATGGAACGAGAATTCGCTATTATTTTAAAGTGTGTATTTTCTTTTAACTGGCTGCAAGTCATATAAATTGAGATTTTTATACTTATATTTCATAATATGAACAGATATATTTATACTGGAATTCTTGAAGTCGACAATGCTGATACATACGAACTCCTCCTTGCTTCATGTGAACTGAAGCTTCATCCACTTATTGATTTTCTTCAAGGCAAGATAATCCAAGAATCTTCGGACTGGCTCTCACAGAAGTTAATTCCAATGTACCATACAGCTGTAAAATTGGCCGCTTGCAAAAAACTTAGATCTTTTTGTATTGAACAAATCTATTGTAGACCCGAACTGGTTTTTGATTCGCCTGATTTTGTAACAATAAGCGAAGATTTATTGGTTACGCTCTTAAACCGAGATGATTTGACTTTACCCGAGGTAAAAATTTGGCAATTAGTAATCATGTGGACCCTGTACCGCCACCCAGATATTTCAAAAAATCCTGAATCGTGGACCGATGATTCGGTAAACTTGCTGCAGAATACTATAGGAAGGTGTATCCCTCATATACGGTTTTTTAGCATTTCGGGCGATGACTACATGGATAAAGTACGCCCGTATAAAAAGTTACTTCCTCGCGAGTTGAAAACAGATATTGAGAATTATCATATTTGTAGTGAAACACCGGTTAAGAGCGTTACTTTACCGCCTAGGAAACCAAGGAATAATACAATTTTGCCAAATCAGAATCATAACTTCTCGTGATTTTTACTTTGAGATAAATAACTATAGTAATAAATTATCTAATCTCAAAATAACGTATTTTTTATTGTGTAGCAGTATAAAGCTGACTTTGCTAATAAATGAAATATTAATATATGATTATTTAAAGGAAGTGAATTTTTATGTTTAAATAAAATTAAAAGAACTTTGAATTTAACCAATGGAATAAATGTATAACGATAACAAGTACATGTATGTGTTTTTACAATAAAATTTGTTCATTCAAAGAACAATTCCACTTGGAACACTTCATAATCGTCCATTTTGAAAGTCTCTTCTTCGAAGATTTCACTTTCGTACGATCTAAGCTGACAGGTTCCTTTAAAGATATATAAATCACCACGGCCGAATCCAATATCATTAAAAAAGTTATATTCCCATTTCGTCAAATTAATCGCATATTTCTCATTTTTCACGCGACTGATGTGTGGTACTTCCTGGAATGGAACGTCGCTAAAACGAAATATAAAACTATGTTTCGTTTCGCGCCAACCATTTTCTTCTTCCCAAAATCTGGGATTATATCCGCCAATAATTCGTGTTGGGTTCTTTGTTCTGATCAAAACAACCAAATTCCCTTCGTTAGCGCATTTACGACCAAATACTTGTCTGCTGAATCCATCACGACTTCCTCGTAGGAGGAGCTTGAAGTTGTATCGTATCGCTAGTTGATTACCGTTACTGTAATCTGGCTTATCGCCTCGTAAGATCCAAGTAGAAATCGTATCAAAGAGGTATTTGTACCCGATTTGCGTATCTGGTAAGAGCTCAGTTGTTCGTAATGAACGGTAATCCTTCGACTTTGTCGTGATATGATATTTTTTAATATTTGATCTTAGATCATCAGGCAGCAATTTTTTATAAGGTCGAACTTTCGCAAGATAATCTTTCCCGGGAATTTCAAGAAATTTTATGAGTGGTAAGAAGTTTTCAACAGTATTTTGCATGTCAGAGATATCTTGTTCGCTCCAAGCTTCGACTTGTTCAGGAATATTGGGATTTTGCGCGAGAGCCCATTTTACAAGAAATTCCCAAATTTCAACTTCTGGAGACGCTAAATCATCTCGTTTTAAAAACGAAACGAGTAAATTTTCATTTAAATTCAAGAACTCAACAGATTTGAAGAGAGAAGCGGCATTTTCGGCCATTCTTTTAGAGCAAAATTCGTTGAGCTCTGTGCAGGAATTTAACTGAGAAGATATCTCGTATAAACGAACGAGATCTTGTTCGAAAAAGAGTGGGTAGTCTTTGAGAATTTTGTCTTGGCAACGGGTGACAATTTCAACAAGAAGGATTTCGTCGGCAGCAAGAAGAAGATCAACTACATCACAGTTTTGGAGAATACATTTTCCCGTATAAATATATCTAAGGATGTAATGTTTACCATCAAAAGTGAATTCACAAGAAAGAGTCTTCAAAAGAAAAAATATACTAACCTCAAGATTGCTTCAAAAACTGTGCCTTTAATATTTGGTTTCTCAATTTTAAATTTATCACCAGATTCAGTATTCCAGGCCGGCGACAATGCTGTTCGAAAATACGGACAGCGAGCACGAAGGATAACAGAGTGAGCACGAAAAACTTTTACATTTGGTGCTTCTCCTGCTCTTATTTCAACATTAGAATAACGTCCGCTTTTCAAAAGACGTGAAATATCGTCTATAAATATTTTTTTAAAATTTGGGGATGACATGAATATGGAAAAAGTATGTTTTACGCATCATTATTATTATGGTGGTTGTGTAACGGTAATAATAATTATTTATCATTGGTTTATCATACTATTATTATCATTATCGGTTTACTTGACTTATAATTTACAACGACGACAATTGTTTACTATAAGTTACAACGACGATGACTGAATTTACAATAATTACAATCTATAATGACTACAAACTTTGATAATATAGAAAAAAGGTAATAAAATTTAATATTAAATGATAATCTGCCAATTGATTATTCTTATATTATCGACGAGTTTAATGAATTAAAAGCATTTAATGCACACAAAAATTTGTTGCAAAATTCTTCGTTAGTTGTAATTCAAAAATTGCAGCGGAAAAATGGCTATAAATGAAACCGCGTAATTTATCGTGACATTCGACATCGCATCCTTTGTAACAGTGTAAAACAATGCAAAGGACAAACAATTGCAACTAAACATCCTAAAAGTCAACGAGCTCTGAATACACATTGTTCAGTTGGTATTGACTTCGAATTAAGAAAAAACGACTGGAATTAGATTCATTGGAATTATCACATCCACTTGAAATAAAATTAACTTTACACAACCACAAACCTGAATCCACAATTTTATTAAGTTTTCGTCCAGTATCTCAAATAATGTCCAGTTTTAATTTAATAAATTTTTAATACTGTTTGATTAGATTTTAATTATCTAAAATTAAAAAAAATTTTCAAGTCTTTCGAACGTTCTTTTTCTTCCGCGGATTGATCTTTCATCTTCCTCTTTTTTGACTGCATTTCGTTGCAAATTCTGCAAACAAATAAACGTCTAAATCATTATAATGATCATATTTAAAAAAATAAAAAATCGGTAAATTTGAGACGTGATATCTTAACATCCAGCAGTTCAATCTAGACAAAAATAGGACCATCGTTTCGTCTAGATTATAGTGTTGGATGTCAAGATATCGCGTCTCAAATTCCCGAGTTTTTTTTGTTCGATCATCCGGTTTTAAATTTTTGATATTTCAATAGATACTTTTGATAATGCATGTCTTTTTTCATCTAAAATATTTTTTAAAATCATTAAAACTTCTTTCAAATTAAAGTTATTTGCGCAAAATTTGGCAAAGTTCTTTTTTTCTCTCTCCAGTATTCATCTAAATCTAAATTATTTTGTTTATTTAATCCACAATAAATGCCCATTTCATTATCTGATGGATTTTTTAAAATGAGAAATAATTCAATAAGAAATATTATGTCTTCTAGTAAAAAATGAACATAAAAGGATTAAAACATTGAATTGCTTTGAATAGTTTAAATATGAAATAAAAATTAATATGCTTATTAAATTTATCAAGAGCAAGTTGAAACTGCTTCTGAAAAATGTAATTTTAAATCATCTATTTCTAATATTGTATTATTTAATTTAGAGTCATTTCATTATTAAAAGGTGAATTATTAAAGATTGATATAAACTGGCAATTATTAAAGAAACTAAAGTTTAAATATTAAATTTACAATCATATTTCATATAATTACACTCTTAATATATCAAACTGCGTAATTATAAAGATTTTATACTTATATAAAGATCAAATTTTCTGTATAATAACTGAGATCAGAAAAACCTGTGACTTTATATGCAATTATATAGAATGTGACTGTATAAAGAGATTTCTATATATATATATTAAATATAAAATTATAAATAATAAAAAATAATTATTTATAAGTATTAAATTATAGTAAAATTTCTAATACAAGACTTGATCTTCTTGTTGAAAGATTTTAATTAATTTCTTATTAGAATTGAAATTTTTTAAATAATAATATAAGAATTTATTCAAATTACAAATTTAAATTAATAAATTTTATTATATCTTAAAAATAAAAAAATTATAATTTCAAAAGAAAAATTAGAAATATTTAATTAGTATAAATACCAATTCTTTTTCTTGTTATAAAATAAGAAAATATAGTTTTAAAAAATAAACATAATTAAATTCTTCATATTTGATTTATATTTTTTTTATAAAAACTATAAAATAATATAAAATTAAAAAAAGAAAAAGATTTTTAAAGGATTTGATGATAACTTGTATTATTAATTATAAAAGAATTATAATTTTATAAGAAATATCATATAAAAAATTAAGCATAACTAGAGAATTATATTATAATTAATATTATCAAAAAATATATTTTAATTAATTTTGTTTGTTTTTATAACTAAATAAGATATTAATTACAAGAATTTTTTTATTAATATAATCAAAACTCTCTATAGTTATCATACTTAAAAAGTAAAATTGAATAACTATAAAAAGATCTAATTATAATTATATTTTCTATTAATTAAAGTTATTATTCTTTTAATAAAAATTTTTTAAATCTTCTTTAATCTTATAATTTTTAAATTTACATTAAAGTTAAATATTTCAATTTATAGATTATTATATAAAATAATAATTTCAATTAACTAAAACTAAAAAAAGATTATTTTAATAAAATTTATTATATATTTTTTTATATAAAATATAATATTTTCATTATATTTAAGTATATAGATTTTAAATATTAATCTTTTTTATTTAATTTTTAAATTATTTAAATAATATTATAAATAAAATAATTAGATATTAAAATTTATAATAATAAATATATTTGTCAAGAATATTTTTGACTTTATATTTTTCTTTATTATAAAATATAATAATAAGAAAAAAAGCCATAATTTTTTTATTATATTCTTTAATAATAAAATATAAATATTATTTATTTTATATTATTAATTATCAAGTTATTCTTACAATTTTTATATCTTATATAATTTTAATTTTGATTAAATTTTTTATATTTTAATTAATTAATACTTATTATAATAAAATAAAAAACTTTATAAGATTTAATAAGAATTAAAAAAAGTAATTAATATATATTTTATTATAAAAAGAGATCTATTAATAACAAAATATAATTATTTATAATGAAAAAATCTTATAATTATAAAATAATTAAAAAAAAACTTTATATTAAAATAATGTTATTATAGTTAAAGATGGCTCCTCAACTAATTACGGCTTGCGGTAGCCAATCAGAGAATTGTGACAGAGTTGCGGCAGCCAATCAGAGAATTGTGATAGAGGTGCAGCTAGTTGCGGCTCTCATCTCTAATTATAGTAATATAAATTTCTTTAATTTCATAATTTTTTGAACTTAAGAAATTCAACCAATTAATTGATCTTTAGAAAATATATAATTTCAAATAATATAATTAATATATTAATTATAGATTTAATCATGATTCAATAATATTTTTGCAATATTTTTGTAATGCTTTAAGATCTTTAATAAATAATTAGCTCCAAAATTAATAACAGTTCACAAACAATTCAACAATGCTTTAGAAATGCTTTAGAAATGATTCAATAATGAATT